GGTTGCTTAAATAAACGCAGTTGTAATTTTTTGTTTGTTGCACGGGTCGGCCTTTGCTGTGGATTTTGCGATTTTGCGGTCTCATTTTTGGTACCGCCAGACGGTCCCAAAAATGGGACCGTGAAAGTGCTTTTCTTTTGTTCTTTTACTAAGCTGTGCATGTGGTCCCAAAAATGGGACCGCCAGGCGGTCCCATTTTTGGGACCGTGTTTAGGTTCATTTTTTAAAGTTTTTTTTGTATCAGGGTTGCAGAAGCGCAATGTTTTGGTTTCAATGAAACTTTGTGGCTTATGGCGACCGGACGGGCAACTAGGGAGGCCCTTTTGAGCGAAGCCGGTTTTGAGAAGGTTTTCCGGACCCAGAATTGGGTCCGTTAGAGCAAGCAGTTTTGTAGATGATTTTGATTCTTGTTGGGGCAAGCGGGGTGCATATCGGTTGCTGCTTGAACCCACTTGAAGTTAGATTCTTATTATTTCGTTGCGTCTGGTGGCTTGATTGTTTCCCGCTAAAAGAAGGCCCATCAGCCTTTTGCAGCCCTTAGGTGATTGCTTGAAGTGTTTCTTGCTGTTGAGGAGTTTGTGGGTTTTCGCGCAGGTGGCCGGCTTCCATTTGAATGATTGTATGGAATACTTTACTGCCCCTTGTTGGCCCCCCTTGCCCCTCTAGACTCCTACCGAAGTTTTCAGCCCAGAAAGAACATTTCAGTCAATCCCGTTATCAATTAATAATATAAATTTAAAACGGGATGGAGTAGGAATCTGCTTAGGAAAATATGTGGCAAGGTGACGTATTGAAGGCTTTCTTACTCCGCCATCGTTTCGATATCGTGTCAATTACATTGGGTAAGTGAATTAAAACATCGCACGGAGTAGCGGAGTAGCGCGGAGTAGTGAAGGATTGGTGAATGTTGCCTGGGTGGTGCTGCATATCGCATTGGAGCTAAAACATAGCACCGAGTAGCGGAGTAGCGCGGAGTAGCGAAGGATTGGTGAATGTTGCCTGGGTGGTGCTGCATCGCAAATCGCCACATTGGAGCTAGGGAACGGAGAGAGCTGATACCACATGTGCGCTTTCAGGTTCCATTTCTGGGGCCGGAAAGTCAATTGAAATCAGGCTTCGCATGTGCGGGCCTCCTCTGTACGGCAATTATCACGAAATCGCTGCGCTTGCTGCCATCCAACAGCCGGCGCTTATTGTATTTGTAGGGGACCATAGGCAAACACCCGGGGGCCTCTCCAAAGGAAGAGCTGCGGCAGCAAATAGGCAGAAGCTGCTCCACCGACCCCTTGGACTTCGAGCGCTGAATCGCTCTGGCGATTATCTTCCCCCTGCCCGGCTCGCAAAGCTTATTGCTCTCCTGTGGCCGGATGCGAGCCGGGAAGGTGCGCCACTTAGCTGGAAAGATTTTGTGGTTCAATCAAAGGTGAGAGAAGGAGATGTGCTACTCTTACATGCTCTTCTGGTTCAGAATCAAAATCCGAGCAGCTTGGAACACATGATGAAGGTGACCAGCCTGAAGCGCCTGCAGTGCAGGCAGAGTTGATGGAGAGGAAGCTATGACTCAAATGGAGAACCTCTTGAACAACCTCAGGGCACAGCAGAATGAATACCTTGCAAATGAGTTGTATGAAGATGCCCGAGAACTTCAGAGGGCAATCGACAATGTGATCGATGCAAAAGAAACTGGAACGGGACTCACAAGTGACCTACTGTTCCAGGTCAGAAATGCCTTTCAGAGAGTGTTCCGAAAAGCACGAAACCGAGGAGAAGAATGGCTGTCTCAGGTCTACAAGTTCTATGTGGACGACATGCAGCAGCTTTTGAAATGAGGAACATTGAAGCCAATTTGGATTGCCAACCAAAGAAAGATTTGTTTCGCAGTCTGATTTGGTGAAAATTTGTGATTGGGGTGCCGGGCAACTCCAAATCCCGAGAGGTGCCGGGAAACCCTAAAACCCGAGCATAGCTGAATCTCAAAAGAGATTTACAGCTCAGCGTGTCAGAATAGTCCCTTGAGCTACCAACGCTCACGAGACTAAGGAGGAGTGCAAAATCCTTTGAACCATGCTCAGTGCAAGGATGACACGCACAAATCACTATGTCAGAATGTTTTCATTGCATGGAATACCCATGGACGGCAGTGGAACTACCGCTGATTTCAGGCCCAAACTTTGAGGTCAAAATAGGGAGCGCCGCACTGCTTTGCATTAGTTTGCATACACCCATCAACCATGAAGAAGAGACTGAAACTCACGCGGGAGATTCTGGAAAGTTTAGAGTATGAAGACATGGAAGCTCTTAGCATACTGGATCACCGCCAGCGGGAGAGATAGATGACGTCTCAGTTTTCCAAAAAACATACAAACCATACCTTGTCACCTTGGATCAGTGGGAGGAAAATGCAGAAGCGCAACAAGTTGGTGCTTGCTATGACCAAAAATCCTGGATCAGTTGACATGGATGCTGCAGTGCTGCGTGACACCAGAGATGAGCTTGCCAAGGGCTGTGGCACAAGATCAGTTGGAGCCTGGAGCAACAATTTCCAGTCGCGTTCCCCTTGCACAAAGTGACAAAGTCCGCATGATTATTCAGTTTCCGGTGTGAATGACAGCTGCACTATTCACACCAAGCTGGATTTGCATGTGATCGACGCTTTCGTTGCGGTGGTCAAGGCTTACTTTGAGAAGATGATGCGTTGCTCAGAGGATTGCAGCCCTCTGGCAAAAACTTAAGACTTGAAAAGTGCGTACCGACAAATGCCGGTGCGGAGTGACCACCTGAAGCATGCCTACTTTTGCAATTGCAACCATGAAAGCTGCACTGTGGAGATATATCGGTCGAGAACATTGCCTCTTGGTGCCATTCACAGTGTCTAGAGTTTCTTGAGACTTGCAAAGTTGTTGCATTGCATTGCTTGCAGAGGACCGAAGCTGTTGACAACCAACTTCTATGATGATTTCATTCTTGCCAGTCGACCCCAACTGCAAGAGTCAGCCAACAGTTGCTTAGAGCTTGTTTTTCTCTTCGCTGGGTGGGAATACGCTAAAGATGGTAAGAAGGCAACTGAGTTTTCCAGCTTGCGTGCGGGGCTCGGGGTGGCATTCGACTTGCGTGACTCCAAGGATGGCGTACCGGAGATGAAGAACACAGAAAAACGAATCGAAAACTTGACTGGCCAGCTTGAAAGTGTGATGCAACATAGAATGTTGAATAGACATGAGACTCTCACACTGAAAGGGAGATTAGGTTTTGCAGACGGTTTCCTACATGGAAGACTTGGTGCGTTGGTGCTCAAGCGTGGTAGACCATGCATACAGCTTTACAAACAATGTGGATGATGAACTTGCGGCTGTTTTTAGGCCCTATGGTGGATAGGCTTAGAAGCGCTGGGCCCAAAGGGTTGACTCAACTATACGACAACAAAACTTGCGTTGGTGGCTTAGGTGGCGTGTTACTGAACTTTGCTGGAGAGTGCTGTGCTTGGTTTTCCTTGCGCTTGGAAGCTGGAGCGTGTCAGCTACTCGGTTGTGATTCCTAAGAAACCATAATATATGAACTGGAGTTACCGGCGTCATGGATAGCGATGCACATTTGGTCCAAGCAACTGGTTTCTGCATACCCCGTGTTGTACGGGGACGATGACAGTGTTAGATTTGTGATTCGTGGGCCTGGTTCGGGTCCAATAGCAAATGCGATCATGAGACAGCATCTTGAGACAGAAGTGACATTCAACAAAAATTTGGTTTGCTCGTGTGCCAATGGAAGCAAACATCGCAGACATTGTTTCACGTTTTCTTCTGCATCCTTTCTTGCCTGCCTCGCATGATGAATCAAACAAAGCTTCTCAAGGTTTGGAAAGGTTCCTGTGCAGAGTTCAAGCGGTTCGCAACGAATTGAAAGGAAATGGGGGAAACGGTTGACTTCGAACCTTCCCGCGTCAGAAAAAGGACTGGAGCAACTGCACCAGTGTGAAACTTGGCGCATATCAATATGGGGCCATATGCGCCATATCGGCCATATGGGCCATATGGGCCACAGAGCTTGAGGAACCAAAGGACCAAACCACCAAACCATACCAAACCCGTAGCTTGGCAAACTGGCCGCCACCTTTTGGACCTTTCGGATCATGTTGCTACAACGAAAGTCACGGTAACTTAAACAACCCTAATTATTTCAATGTTCATTCAAGTTCCATCACAAGTTTTCGCAGGTCGTTTCGTTCTTGGGAAATCGTTTTTTTTTTTTTTTTCCGTCATTATTTTTAAACATTTTTTTGGTCGTTGTCTGGCAAATTTCAATCATCTCTTTGACGTGATTGGGGTGAGCGCCCATTGGTACACACAAACCAACTTGTTTTACTTCGCATAGGTTTTGAGTTGAACAACGGTTTGACTCGGAAAAACAGTTTAAAATTGAACGATGCCCGATGTGCCCAATTGGGGTTACACAACTGCGGTGTCGGTTCGGTGCTGTGCGTGGCCAATTACTTCAAAAAATATTGTTGATTTTGTCCCTCAAAACATTTTTTCCCTGTCATTTTTTGGTTGCGACAATTGAACGCATTGTTTTGTTATATTCATGTCAGTTGCAAAGATGCACCAGAAAAACGACAGCTGATACGCATGTTCACAACTGGGTTGAGCAGTGCAGATCGTTTCAAATGCAGTCTCTGAATATTGTAGAAAAAAATGTTGAAACATGTTGGCAGGGAATGCAAGGGCAAATTTATGATTTTTGAACATGTTTGCAAATTCAAATGGATGTGTAAAACCGAACGAACGCATGTCCAACTGCATATCGCAGTAGGCATTGTTAATTTTTCATTTTTACCTTGTTCCATCCTGAGTGCCACAAATTGGAAACGATCAAACATTTGTGTGTTTGGTGCAATTTGAAATCCTGAAACAATCCACTGTACCATCATTAAAAACAATGGAACATGCAAGAGGTTGCACAAATCCATTCAATAGACATTGCTTTGGCGTGGATGTAGTTTCGCCATGTCATCAGATTTGCAAATCCTGCAGGCAAGTTTCTGATAATTCCGATGATATACAAAAATGCCAATGAACATGTGCTGTGACAGGCGTTCACCAGGCGGTGTGGCACCAAAGTCTTCTATGCGGATGTGGTGACAATTCAATTCGAGGAACGGAATTGCCGCATAGGTCCTGCAAAATGGAGAGTCCAAACTTTCTAAACGTTGACGTTTGCAAAAAATCAAGTATCGTTTTTCCAATTGACTTTTTGTTTTTGGTTGTTTTCTTCAGGAGGTCGAAGGACATGACGCCTTGGAAAATGTTGTCCCGACATCTCCGAAAACATCGGCAGGCAAGGATTTTAGCAAACCGACTTTGGTTTGCTAAAGTTGTCGGAACATGTTCTGCCAAATTTTGGAGTCTGCATTCAGGACCGCGCTTTGGCCCACCGAAAAAGGCTTACCTTTGCGTTGGACAGTGAACAACTCAGAAAAAACTGATTGTCCATTTCATATCTGTTCACAGGCTCTTGTTGTTCGTTTTAAACCAAAGTGGGTTCGTGAAATGACAAATGTGGTTGTCAGTTGTTATTGTAGATAAAAGGTTTCTTTTGAATAGAATAGGGACAAAAAAACTGCAATATGATTGTTCGTTATCCGTGCATGTCGATTCTGGATCTTCACTCAATGTTTCTTCTGCCGCATATGATGGGGCAGGTTTTTTCCGAATCTTTTGGTTAAACAAGTACATGAGAGATACTGCAGGATTTGTTTTCATTAGGGTCCACCGTCGTGTCCAAATTGCCGGAGAAACGACCCTTCAGAAAAACATGCATCTTGTCAACGCACTTGATCTACAGACATTGCAATTGCTGCATATGTGGTTCTGAGGTCCTGTCTATGCTTGTTAGCCAGCAGCATGTGCTTATCTAAGCCGATTCCAAGAGAGAACTTTGAGAAAATTGCGCAAGGGACGGATTTGGCCCAAACATGGAACAAACCAGAATTCATCCAAACATTCTTTTCTGATTGGTGGTGTTCTGCTTATATAACAACATTGAACCATATTGAAGTTTTTTTTCCTTTTTTTTTGCCTTTCTGAATCTGGAACAGTCATCAGGTCGAGACGACTCCAAGCTTTCAATGGGCAGGTTGATTATGCTTGGATGGAAAAGGTCGCAGTGGATGCCAGCAGCAGGCGGGACCAGGGCTAAAATGGGCTGCTTCAGCCAATCAACAAAGTGCGCAGGAGTCCAACATGAAAAAAAATATGTGATTGTCAAATTTTGTTTTTTTAAAACATAATCAAACATGAATTGACAAATTTCTTTGAATCATTCGATTTTCAATTTGATTCATCTGGCAGGACTAAGTTCTTAGTGGCCCTCAGCCTCTCCAAGGCGCAAGACCCCGAGGTTTCAACGCGTTGCTTTCCGGCGCTTTCTGCCTCGCAGTTCCAGGTCAAAGCCTCACTCAATTCCTTTTACAAGGCGGCTGAGACGTGCTAGATTCAAATGTTCTCACATTTTGTTGATGTTGATTCCCCAACACCAGAATGCTGATGTTGATGTTGATTTTTTTTAAGTTTCTCCCCAACAGCTAAGCTAATGGGGTCTTCAGAATAGCTCCCGTGTGCGCTGGTGCAGGCGCCGGGTCAGGTTCAACGAGGTTCCGGAGAAGGTTCCGGAGAAGGTTCCAGGAAGCCTTGGTGCAAAGCCAAGTTAGGTCCAACAGGGTTCCGGAGAAGGTTCCGGAGAAGGTTCCGGAGAAGGTTCCGGAGAAGTCTGGGAGGCTTTGGTGCAGAGCCAGGTCAGGTTCAACAGGGTTCCTGAGAGAAGGTCTGGGAGGCTTTGGTGCAGAGGCAGGTTAGGTTCAACATGGTTCCGAAGAAGGTTCCGGAGAAGGCTTGGGAGGCTTTAGTGCAGGCAGGTCGGGTTCAACAGGGTTCCGGAGAAGGTTCCGGAGAAGGTCTGGGAGGCTTTGGTGCAGAGCCAGGTCAGGTTCAACAGGGTTCCGGAGAAGGTTCCGGAGAAGGTTCCGGAGAAGGTTCCAGGAAGCCTTGGTGCAAAGCCAAGTCAGGTTCAACGGGTTCCGGAGAAGGTTCCAGCGCTTGGCTTCGCAGCACGCTTCAGAAAGATTTGCAAAAATAAAACGTTGCGGCTGTTGGGGATACCACCGAAGCTTATTTTTAAAATGTTTTTCTGTTCAACGTCAGTTGCGTGGTTTGAATTTCGTACAATTTTTGGCCATCTCGAGACAGAGACCTTCGCAGTTCATTGTCGAATCCGACGATCGAGATGAACTGCTGAAGTTGATCTCCACGTATTTCGTTGCTGTGTCGGCCTTGGATAAGTCTGCCACCATGGTGCTAGCATAGGGCTGGGTATATGCGGCTGTGTCAATGGCAAACTTGGAGGTCTTGAAGGGTGAAGTCTGCAAGAACTTGGAAGAACTAGGAAGGATGATTATGATATTATTGATATTGACATTTGTTTGAATTGATTAGCTGATTAGCGATACCGATGATACATGATGATACATGATGATATCAGGTTCATCCGAAGTTCATCCGAAGTTCATCCGAAGTTCCGAAGTTCATCCAAGGATGGGCTCCATCGGCATGGGAAGTTCGAGTCCCTGCCGCGCTTCCAACATGACCTGGGGACCAGTCCCGCTCCAAGCAGTGGGCCTGGCACAGTTTGGTGAAATCACCTGAAACCTGAAATCAGATTTCTCACTGAGCGAACAGGTATTGTTCCACCAACAGGGTACAAGAAAGCGAGCTTCCGCAACTACACTTTCTTTATCAGGACTGGATGTGGCGAGTTTGTTCCGGCTTTGTTCTGGCTGTTCCCTGTTCCGTTCGTTTGACGGGATCTACTTTCATCTCAGGAAAGACTTTCAAGACGTGCCAAATGCTGTTTCAAAGGCCTTGCCCCTCCAGACATGTTTTCGACATGTCAAGTGACTGTCAAGTGCCTTCTACTTGGTGTGTTTGCGCTTCCATTTCAGAGTCTCAGAATATCACTGTGTGACATTCGAAATTCTTAAAGTGTTTGAACAGTGTTTGAAGATCTTCTTGTGTCTTTTTTGCACATCAAAACCTTCGTTTTAACGTCTTGTAAATCAAACATGTGCATCTCCACACAATATCTTCATCATATCATCATATCTTCATCAAATCTTCATCAAATCTTCATCAAATCTTCATCAAATCTTCATCATATCATCAAATCTTCATCATATCTTCATATCTTCATCATATCTTCATCATATCTTCATCATATCTTTATATCTTCACAGTATTTTTCATTGTACCTTTAACAATCACCATGTCACTATGATTTCCCCATGGCCACAGGCGGCCACTGGGCACTTCTCCATGGCCGCCTCCAAACTCTTCGACAGGAGCGGATGTCGAGACTGAAATAATACACAACATTACACAGCATGTATCATATGTGTATATACCAGTAGTGCCGCACAAGGCGGTGGCGGAAGTTTCCAAAATAGGAAACCTATAGGAGAGGTTGGTTGTTGTGAATCACGGATCGCAGAGCGAATCCTCTGATGGACCCAAAGGTGGTTGGGGGTATGTTTTTTGGCGTGGTTGCAATGGTTGCAGTGGTCACGTAGTGTGGTGTAGCGCAGCTGTAGTTGTAGTTGTGGTGTAGTGTAAGTACAGTAATGTAGTGTAATGCAATTAGTGTAGCGCAGTTGTAGTTGTAGTTCTAGTGTAGTGTAGTGTAATGTAGTGTAGTTGCAGTTGCAGTTGTAGTTGTATTTGTAGCTGTAGTGTAGTGTCATTCAGTGTAGTGTAGTGTAGCGTAGTGTAATGTAGTATAGTTGTAGTTGTAGTTGTAGTTGTAGTTGTGGTTGTAGTTGTAGTTGTAGTTGTAGTTGTAGTTGGTGTAGTGTAGTGTAGTGGAATGTAGCGTAGTGTAGTGGAATGTAGTGTCGTGTAGTGTACTGTAATGTAGCGTAGTGTAGTGTAGTTGAATGTAGTGTAGTGTAGTGTAGTGTAATGTAGTGTAGTGTACTGTAATTGAATGTAGTGTAGTGGAGTGTAGCGGAGTGTAGTGTAGTGTAATGTAGCGTAGTGTAGTGGAATGTAGTCTAGGTGTAGTTGTAGTTGTAGTTGTAGTGTAGTGTAGTGGAGTGTAGTGTAGTGGTGGTTGCAGTTGAAAATGCTACAAAACCCTCACGTTTTGGTCACTTTTGACAAGGTGCACAACCCCTTGCGCCTGCCACGCGAAATGACACCTGAACATCCAAAAGTGGTCCGAACCCCTGGTGTTGTTAACCTCTTGACTTCGAAATGTGCTTCGCGCCACAACGACGTGCACTTTTTCGACATCTCAACTTCCAAAAGTGGTCCGGGGCTGGTGTGTTTTGTACATTTTGGCTTCGAAATGTGCTTCGCGCCACAACGGCGTCAACTTTTTCGACATCTCAACTTCCAAAAGTGGTCCGGACCTGGCTTGTTTTGTACATTTTGACTTTAAAGTGCACTTTTTCGACATCGCAACTTCCAAAAGCCGTCCGAACATGTGGTGTTTTTAACATTTTGACTTCGAAATGTGCTTCGCGCCACAACCCCATGCACTTTTTCGACATCACAGCTTTCAAAAGTGCTCCGAACGTGAGGTGTTTTCAGCTTTTTACTTGCAAATGTGCTTCGCGCCACAACGGAGTGCAATTTTTCACACCTCATCTGGCCAGCTGGCTCCGCACCCGCCGCTTTAGCGAGCCTACTTTTTGACCCTCCGGAGCCACAAATATGGGAAAAACACAGTGTTTCGCGGCTTTCCTACCTTTGCGCGCACCTGGATCTTCTTTCTTCTGATACTTTCTCTTTTTGATCTTCTTTCTTCTTCTTTCTTCTTCTTTTCTCTTCTCTTCTCTTCTCTTCTGTTCTCTTCTCTTCTCTTCTCTTCTCTGACTCTTCCCATCTATGCTTTTCATCTGTCCATATTGTCGAAAGTTTGACTTCGAAACTTCCTTCGAATGTATATGTATACACGATATGTGTATATATATATATTATATATATATATATATACGTATATTTATATATAGTATGTAAATATATAAATACACTAGGGGGCTGACGTTTGCCCGAAACCCATGGAATTCCATGCCGGGCTGCAATCTGTTGTGCTGTTTCGGCGTGTGTTTTTCGCAAACTGCCAGCATACAAAATATTGATACTGCCGGCGTATAATCGCATTTTTGCGCTTACCACCTTTGGATCTATGTTGTCTTGAGCATATTCTCCGGAATTTGTAGTGTTTCCAGCAATGAACTAAGACCTTGACAAACCATAAAATGCTATAAAACTTTGAAAGAATCTGAAAATTACCACCCAACCCTAAATAAACGCCAGACAGACCCTGAACCAACCCTCAATCAACCATAACTGCGCTAAAAACAGCCCCAAATAGCACCAGACATTTATTAAACAAACCGTAAATAAACCCTGAACCAAACCTAAAAGAAAATTCAAACCAAATTGAAGATCTTGAAGTAAACCCGAATTGCAACCTTAAATGATAAATCCTAAACTAGCCCCAAAGCAACTAAACTCCCAATGAAGCTTTGGGCGAACGTCCGCCCCGAGCGATGCATATTCGATACAACATACAGAACACACACACACACATGCATATATATATACATTAATTATGAGGTGTATCAACAGATAGATCAACCTATATCAACCTCTTCAACTGTTTTGAAAAAACTGAATTCTTTACTCAACTCAAACTATCCAAATATCAACCTATCAACGTTTGCCGAAGAACAACAATTCTGCCTTTTCTCGTGTTTTCTTTGGTGAGTTCTCGAAATCTCCGTATGTTAAAAGAATTCTTTTGCTTGTCCGCACAGTCTCCGGATGTTTCACCAAATTCACCAAAGCGTTTGCGCTCGTTACTCGTCGTTGGAGTGCCTCTAGCACGCATATGACCACATCCAGTGACATCTGGTGGCAGTTTCAGGACCTTTAGCTGGTCGAGCTCTCCAGGCGCTCCGTAGAATTTGACGTGGCAACTCATGACATCTCTATGCAAATCTATACCCTCTGGTTCTTTAACATAGCCATGGAAAATGGCCCATTCATAGATGATTTTCCCATTAAACCTTCTTTTGTAAGGGACTTTCCATGGCTATGTTAAATAAACAGATGGTACATCTCTATACATCTCTGGCATCTCTTGGTCAACTTGGTCAAGGTGATGTCGAGCTGCTGGTTTCTGTGGTTGATCCGCCTTTGCCTCAGGATGCAGTGTGTGTCATGGTTTAACGGGTCTAAGGTCTGTGGCCTTTACAATTTGGGTGTGGCGAAAAAATCGCAAGAAAGGTTCAACAAAATTGGTCTTTGTCTAGAGTTCATTCTATATATATATATATAATATATCTAGATATTTTTTGGGGGTTCATAGTCTTGAGCCATAGCCATATTGATCATATTGATCATATGGATCATATTGATATTGCGTGATATTGTTATTGTTTGATGTTTCTTTGTGTTTGATTCGTATTTGATTCAGATTTGTTCGTCTTTCTCCACTAGTTTTTCGGCCTTCCAAAGGCTACCTCTTGCCAGTCTTCGACCTCTGGGGCGTGAGCATGTTCGTTGGGTGGCCCTCGAGTGCAAACAGTCACTACTCAGGCAGGGTGCCCCGGTGCCATCGGGTGTCATCGACCTAGGCGAAGGAAGTTTAAAAGTCAAACTTCCGACCATATGGACAAATGGAAAAGCAGGTGGGAAGAGTCAGAGAATAGAAGAGAAGAGAGAAAATCAGAGAAGAGAAAGAGTTAGAGGAAAGAAGATGCAGGCGCGCGAAAAGGTAGAGAGGCCACGATTCCCTGTGTTTTTCCCATGATTTGTGGCTCCGGAGGGTCGAAAAGTAGGCTAGCTAAAGCGGCGGGTGCGGAGCCAGCTGGCCAGATGAGAGATCGATGAGAGATGAAAATTTGCACGATGTTGTGGCGCGAAGCACGTTTCCAAGTCAAAATGTACAAAGCACCATTCTCGGACCACTTTTGGAAGTTGACGTGTGGAAAAGTGTACGCCATTGTGGCGCGAAGCACATTTCCAAGTCAAAACGTTAAAATCACTTCATGTTGGGACCACTTTTCGACGTTCAGATGTCCTTTGGCGTGGCAGTCGCAAAGGAGTCTGCACCTTGCCAAAAGTGAGCAAAATGTGAGTGCTTTGTGGCATGTTCAAAAGTGATGGCAGGCCTGGGACGTTGAAGAGGGTCTGCGAAGATGCATGTCGCGTGGCAGTCGCAGTACCAGAGACATCCATCAGACATGTTAAGAGGTCAGGACGCTGATTTCCTTAGAGGGGTTGCATTTTGGAGGTTTGCTAAGATGAATTTGCAAGATAGGTGCGGCACTTCGTACGATTTAGCGTAGAAACATGGACTGGAAAAATCGCAAAACGCATTGGCACGAGGCCATCAGCTCTGCACTCAACTTTCCATTATTGAAGGAAGTCTCGCAGAATTGCCTCGCTTTTGATGTTGCCAACTTCAAAAATTGAGGATGTCTCGCAGACTTGCTTCGTTTTGATGTTATAAAGATCAAAGGTGAGGAAGTCTCGCAGAACTGCTGCGTTTTTGATGTTGTCAAGTTCAAAAGTTGAGGAAATCTTGCAGATAGCTTCGTTTTAGATCTTGCAGGTAGACAGATTCATAGATAGACAACTACAACTGCGACTACCGCTACAGGACACTACAACTACAACTACACATGCAAATCGCTACGCTACACTACACTACGCTAATTGCACTACAACTGCAACTTTTACTACAACTACAGCTACAGCTACAACTACACCACATTAAACTACACTACGCTAATTACATCACACCACACTATATTGTACCACACTACACTACATTAAAACTACAACTACATCTATAACTGCAACTGCAACTGCTACTACAAGTAGAGCTACAAGCACAACTAGAACTACACTACACTACACTTCACTACACTACACTACACTACACGATAACTACACGATAACTACAACTACAGCTACACTAATTACAATACATTACATTACGTTACATTACATTACACTACATTGCATTACATTGCAGCTACAACTACGACTATAACTACAATTACAACTACAACTACAACTACACTGCACTGCACTACACGACACGACACGACACTACACTAATTACGCCATACCACAACTGCAACTACACTACACTATGCACACTACACTCCACCACACTACAGTAGAACTACAACTGCAACTTCAACTACAACTACAACTACAGCAACAACCGCGCTACACCACACTACATCCAGCAGTTATGGGTGAGGTAACCACTGCAACCATTCCAACCACTCCAGAAAGAAACTTCTGCCGCTGCCTTGTGCGGCACTACTGGTAGCTGGTTGGTAACCATGGAATATCATGAAATATCCCGATAAGAAAAATCCGGGTAAACTATGTGAATATGGTCGGCTCTAATGATCTGTAGCCTATGAGTTTTTCTCTGCATAGTACTGTGCGTGTTTTACGGACCACGCCCTAGCTCATCCCCTTAACTACAGGGGTGGGGTAGTGGCCTGGCTGTCCGCCTAGCGTTGCACCCGGGTATTGAACCCAGGTGTGACGCATGACTGATGCGTTTTATCCACTAGACCATACCGGCCCCCTTCTCCACATAGTACTTGAGATGTACGTCTGGGTTGGAAAGATTATGAAAGACTGAACTGAGAGAGTAGTGAGAGTTTGAACTTGCTTTCCCATGGTTTCCCATGGTTTCCCCTGGTTTCCCAGGGCGCTATGGCCTGGCCAGGTCATGGAATGCACGGGTGGTTCACAACCGACCGTACATGAAGAAGATGCCATTCACTCAGAGCGGAATAGAAAATGCACAGAAAACTCACAGAAAACATAGCGGAGACGATGGAAGGTGTCTAAGACATTCTATGACTGTTTCTAGTGACTGTCTAGTGACTGTCCAGTTGTTTCATGTTGAAAAACATGTTGAAAAACATGTTGTTTCTAGACCAAGGAATTTGGCGAATGTCAGGTGCCCAGCTCGAATGGTCCAATATGGTCCAATCAAAAGGCCATCGGCAGCAACCTGAGTTGAAGCGGTAGAAACCCGTGTCGTGTTAAGGATGTGGCATCTTGGAGTTGCTGGGAGATGTTCATTGAGGTGAGACATGGTGAGATCTGGATCCACTGTTCGCTGATCAGACGATTTGATCATCTGTTTTCTATTTGTGGCCTCCAAATGTGATTTCGGACGGGTCATGGTGAAAAGGAACAGTCCAACAGCTGTGGATTCACTGTTCAGGATAACGATTTCACCTGGGCTGTCATCGTTTTGAGGCGTGGCCTTCAACGTTCTTTCCTTGTTTCATCGTTTTGCGTTTTGTTGTTGTTGTTGTTGTTGTTGTTGTTGTTGTTGTTGTTGTTGTTGTTGTTGTTTGTTGGTTGTTGTTTGTTGTTTGTTGGTTGCTGTTTGTTGGTTGCTGTTTGTTGGTTGTTGTTTGTTGGTTGTTGTTTGTTGGTTGTTGGTTGTTGGTTGTTGGTTGTTGGTTGTTGTTTGTTGTTGGTTGTTGGTTGTTTGTTGTTGGTTGTTTGTTGTTGGTTGTTTGTTGTTGTTGTTGTCGTTGTTGTTGTGGTGGTTGTTGTTGTTGTGGTTGTGGTTGTTGTTGTTGTTGTTGTCGTCGTTGTCGTTGTTGTTGTTGTTGTTGTTGTTGTTGTTGTTGTTTTGGTTGTCGTCGTCGTTGTTGTTTTGGTTGTCGTCGTCGTCGTCGTCGTCGTCGTCGTCGTCGTCTCTGACTTCAAGGTTTGGGTCCAGCGCTTCTTGAGCAAGGTATTATTCGCTATGCATTCGACTGAAACTCCAACTGAAACTTTGGGCAGCACTGTAGAAAATAACCAACTTACTTGTGCAGTGCTGACCCACAACACGGCTCTCTCACTACTTCAAACTCACCTACACCTAGCAGCAGTCATACAATCAGTACACAGAGACGCGATGGGGACAAAGTTCAACCAGATCGCAGGTAAGGATGCTTTGATTTATAAAGATCCGACCCCCTTAGACTTTCAATATGCCAAAACGAGCATGAAGTATCATGAAGTAAAGTGCAAGTTTAAATTCCCAAGTCTTTAGATGCTTTCAGCATCTTTCAGCAATGGCTTCCCATGATTTCCCATGGATGAGCTAAGTCAGCTTGGTGAGCTTGGTTATGTGGGGAAGACCATTTGCGACTTCCTGGCAACATTCGCCGATGAAAAAGTCTTCGAGGAATTGTACTCAGATGGAGCTTCGGTGCGAGTGATCTTCAGGGAGGCATTGCCTCCAGTTGCACAGCAGTTCGTTATGCGTTTAGCTTTTGGTGGAGCCAGACCATTCCAAGAGGCAGCTCAGACTGACCAGATCCAAAGAGCACGTTCTTTTGAATTTCTTCTCTGATTCTTTTTTGAACATTTTGAATCCAACTTTCAGATGCCTCACCATTATAACTTCAGAACTTTGGCGTTGTTTTGCTGTTTGGATCTGTTTGGCCATTTGGCCACTTCAGGCCATTTGGCTGTTTGGGTTCATCTTGGTTCATCTTGGTTCATCTTGGTTCATCTTGGTTCATCTTGGTTCATCTTGGTTCATCTTGGTTCATCTTGGTTCAACATCTCATGTGTAGCGGTGTTTCCAAGGCGATCTTTCGGAAGTGGTGCCGCGGTGCTGCCTTTGGCTCGAGTTTGCAGATCCTGCAGCGCTTGCAGATTCTACGGCTGGCGCAGGTTGCGCAGGCTGGAGCGAAAGGGCAGGTCTTCATGCTGCACAAAAAGTTCCAAGTTACCTTGGTGAATTATTTGAAATTTGGTATTGGAGAAATTGCTGGAGAACATCCCGATTCGCGACTTGAAAAACTGGACGGAGTTTCTGAGGCAGATCTCCTGCACCATGCCGTCAGCTGCTGGGACGCTTTCCTGGAGGAGTTGACCTCGGAAGCTTCGGAAGCTCCAGATGGCGATGCTGGCGATGCTGGCGATGGCGATGGCAGATCCGAAGTGATGACACTGGCGACTGCGTTGCAGCTGTTGCAGCCAGGTGAAAATCAAAATCGGAGGTTGGCTTTGACCTCGCAAGGCTTTCAATTTATTCTGGATGAACGTCAGCAGCAACTGTGGTCTTTGATTTTGATGTGCTTGAAAAAGTCGGGAAAAGACCAGGCTGTGAATGCCTTGAAAATGATCTTTGCACTCGGTGAGCTGAAGCTGGGGCAGCGACTTGTTTCTCAAGATTCTCAAGGCAAATGCGGACAGTTTCTGCAACTGCTTCAGGAGCTTGGCATTCTCTATGCTTCGAAGGATTCGAAGGAATCGAAGGATTCGAACACTGCTTCGAAGGCTTCAAGAACCCATCAAAACCATGAGAACTTTTACGTCACACCCGCAGGGCTTGCGCTCTTCAAGAAAGATTCGAGCGCAACGCTGTCACGGATCACTGGAAGCTCTGATGAAGACCAGGGTATCATCGTGGAAAGCAACTTCAAAGTCTACTGCTACACGAGTCAAAGTAATGAAAGTAACCGCAATGCAGATCGACCCGGATCCAGTTTGCATGTGAAACTGTTGAGTTACTTCTGCGAAATCTTCTTGGAACTCCCAAAACTTGTGGTGGCTCAGTTGACGGCTGATTCCATTTTGAAAGCCTTGAAGCGTGGAATTCGAGTGGCCAACATCGTGCGTTACCTTGAGGCAGCTGCACATCCACGCAGCACTTTGCCATCCAACGTGAAAGGGCAACTTGAGGCCAATGAAGATGGGGCGATCCGCTTTTCTTTCTGTTTTTGTCTCTATTTTGCTTCTTTAAAGCCACTATTTCGGGATATTTTTTTTCGAAGCACTTTTGAAGGAGGGTTCGGAATGAATTTAGGTCCCAATGACCAGGCATACCATTTGTCGTCTCTTTGAGGGTGACTTCAGGCTGATTGTGCCGTGATTTTGCCCTTAGGGAACATGCAAATATGCCAAATATGCCAAATATGCCAAATATGCAAATGAATTGTCGTTGAGTCAGGCCAAAGTCAGGCCAAACCTCTCAACTTGTGTCTTTTAAGGATGTTCTCTTCAACATCCTTCAAAGTTTTTCTGGCTTTGTTCTGGCTTTATTCTGGCTTTGTTCCGTTTGTCTTCCCTCTTCCGTTTCTTCCGTTGGTGTTTTCTGTTCGTTTTCCAGGTGTGGGAGTCCAGCCGGTCTCGAGCGGCGACTTCTCCTGCAGTCCTCTTCGAGTGGCAGCCTGGCGACTCCGATGACACGTTTCTGCAAGCTGAGCAACTTGCGCGGGACACAGGCCTGGCAGTTGGGATATTTCATGATATTTCATGATATTTCGGATCTGATCACATCACGAGCTTCCCCAACGTAGAAGTGGTATATGAACTGGTGTGTTTCTCATCCAATCTATTCTCATTCATGTTTTCTAGTCTATTTTCATCTATTTTACAAAAAAATCAGGAGCGCTCCTCTAGTTTTAAATGTTTCAATGTCTAGACGTTTTGCTTTGTTTCTGACTTCCAAATTGTGCCTGTAGAGGAAGTCTCCTGTGGTCCAGACGACGAGCATTTGATCTTCCACCGGTGCTGGTGGTTCAAGCAGGTCCTTCTGTGCAGCAGATCAGGGACTTGGTGAAACCTTCGAAACCTTCGAAACCTTCGGCTTCAACGACTTCCAAAGGAAAAGCCTTTGCTTTCCGCTTGAAGCCTGAGGGAAACGCTTCCATGGACCTTGATTGACGTGATTGACGCAAAAGTTCATGATCATTGCAATTTGTGGGCTATTTGTGGGCTCCAATCGGTCTTGGAATGTCTTGAAGCATTTTTTGCAATGGAGTTTTTTTTGGTTTCGATGTCCATGCTGTTGGATTGCACATATGTTCTGGCTGTGACAGTGGACACAATGTTTGCCAGGCGGCAGTATGTGCCACCCGTACTCGATACTGCACAGGTGCACTTCAAAATTCTGCGCTTTTTTACATTGGTCAGCACGTGTCAGCAACATCACTTGCTTGGGAGACAGACTAGGCACAGCACAGAAGCGTGTCAGGACTTCATTCTGGCAATGAAATGTCGATCAGCTAAAGATCGAGAAAGGAAGAAGAATGTGGAGGCCCCTTTTGATTAGCGGGTTTATGACTGTCTATGACTGTTTATGAGGCTCAAGATCCGTTGAATCCGTTGTTGGAGACTTCGTTTAGCTTCGAGGCATGTTTGATGCGGGAGCTTGCCTTCATTGCGGACAGCTTTAGCCCACAGCCGCATCCCAACTTGAACTTAGACTTGGTGCAGGTGCCGAAGAATGCGAAGAATGCCACAATTTTGATATCAACATTTCTTCACAAAATTCCATTTCAATCTCACTCTTTATACCTCTTCCAATATCTCTTCATATCTCTTGATTTTTTCGAGTTTGCATTGTGGCAATGATTGGCAATTTCATTTCGTGAAGGCCAAGCTTGATGCATTGCTGTTTGATGATGAAGCTTTTCACTGGATCTATGACAGGTGCGGGGTCAAAGGGCAAGGGAAGAGTGTGGGTAGAGAAAGATCTTACTAGTACTGACATTTGTCACTTGATTCACTTGATCTCACTGACATTTGCTTCGGCAGAGGTGTCAGAGACTCTGGCATTTCTTCAAAAATTTTCACTTTTCTTAGCCTTTAAAAGAACGGCGCCCTGCTCCATGACTCATATGACTGTTCCGTGAGGTTCAAGCTTGTGCCAGTTGGGCATTTCAACATCCACATGTACTGCACAGTCTTTGTGAAGGCCAGGACTCCAGGACCAAATCGCTGGCGCGAGCACGGCACTCCAAGGAAAGGAGCCTAGCAGCTGGTTCCTGAACAAAAACGATAAAAAAACTAAGAGATCCACGAGAGATGCCAGTTTGGAACGATAGATGGCAAAATAAATTGGGATAACCGTGGATATCCCAAAGCCATTCAAACGCGCGCGCTTTCATGCAAATTCGAGCTGATGTTAAACTGTCGTAACTGTCGTACAGCCAAATCAAAAACAAAAAAAACAAAAAGAACCCCAGAACCCCCATCCAAACACATTCTTTGTTGGAAAGAGGACTGGAACTTTGATCACGATCCTCGGTTTTGATGACCTTTTGGCTTCACTGCCAGGGTGTTGTGAAGAAGCTTTACAATGAGCACGTGTTGAATTCCTCCGAATGCGTCAACGTCCCTGCCTCAGAGTTTTTAAAGCTTTACCTGGCCAAATTGCCAAATGTGTTTCAAGTAGTAGGTGTTTTTGAAGTCTAAACCAAGGGTTCTGAATCAGTTAACATGCTAAAACAAGAGCTCAGAAGGGGGTTTCCATTGAACCTTGGTGGCAAATGGAATTACATATGTACAAGTAGAACCCGCGCAAGTGGGTGGCGGAAGTTTCCAGGTGTCAGAAGTGTAACGCTATAGGATCCAAAGACAAGGTTTGCCTATAGGAGCTGCGGCAGACTTCCATGCTCTTTTCCGGGACTTCTGACCTCTTGTCGCAAATTGTGAAACCACTTGTCAACTCTTCCAACGACTTCTCACCTCTCGTCATCTCTTTTCAACGACCTTCATTTCTGTGCACATCTTCTTGACTCACCTCGCCTCAGTTCCACCTGTCCATTTTCTTCTCAGCACAATCGAAGTGACACAGTTGCCTTTCCATTCGATCATGGTTTTCAACATTCGATTGTGTTATCATGTGTTATCATTCTCATGTCATGTACTATCGTTCAATCCCACTGGACTGTTGGCTGTTACCTGTGGGTGCAACGTTCAAGCACGCTTTGGCCGCAGCATTTTTTCCACGCGCGCGAAGAGCTGTGACGCCACGAGCAGCCATCTGTCAAGAGCGCGCGTGAGCAGCGCAGCCGCACGCGTCTTTGAGTCCTGCTGCCCGAAAGGCGAAACGAACAAGGACACGCAAGCAGCACAGCTGTGCGCGCCACCGGAATGCAGCGCGTGGCAAACGCAGGCAGCACAGCCGTTCGCTCTTCTTCCCTGCTTCTTTCTGCTACACTTCCAAAATGTCGCCATCGCAATGCAGCTTGCGCAAGGTCTCCAGGAAGGTGACGTCGACCGGGACGTTGAGAAAGGGCCGCTTGATGCTCAGTACGGCGGCCAAAAGAGCGGATGTCGTTCCAACGGAAAGCATTCGCCAAGGGTGAGGCGCAACAATGACTGCGGCAAAGGCACGTACCGCAAATCCTGTTGAAAGAACCGCCCCAACACGAGGGTTTCGAGTTGGTCTGGTAGATTCGCGGTAGCCAGGGAGCGATTGAAGTCAGAACCAACATGCAAAAGCCGCAGCTGCGATGGCCCCAGTGCCTGATAGAAACGATTGCCGAAGTGAAGCTCGCAGAGCGTCGCCGGCAGAAGAGAGTCCTGCAAGGGCCTATTGAATGTCATGCCAAAGGTCAAGTTTGCAGACGCCGCGGCCAGCGGATGTTGCAGATCGACTGATCAAACAAGTATCCCAAGTGCTGCAACCCCGCAGGCAAACCGATTTTTTTGCAGGGACCAATTGCAACGATCCCCCAGACGCAAGTGCGTCAGGCCGTCTGGCAAGTTAGCCGCCCCAGGTGTCAGCGAGAACAAGCCGCCGGCACGCAGATGTCGCAAGCCGACGGGCCAGCGTGAGAACGGCAAGCGACGGCCGCCGCCGGTGAAGTTGTTGCCACAGCAAAGTTGTTCCAACCGAGGCGGCAGCTGCACATTGTCTATGCACTGGCTGAAAGATGCCCCAAAGATCAAGGTATCAGGCAGCTGCGCATCAGCCAGCGACTGATCGAACAAGGTGCCAAAGTGGAGTTCCCGCAGCAGGCGGCGCGATCCATTCCGGCAGCGGTCTATTGTAAGAAGGCCCTGGCCTCAGAATCTCTAACGCCTGCGGCAAAGCGGCGCCCGAGAGGCTCTCGTTGAACGTGCCCATTGCAAGCTGGCAGGCAAATGCCGTGGCAAGAGGCTGCTGCGAAAGCTGAAGCCCAAGTGCAAGGCACGCAGTGCCAACGGCCAAGCAACGTTGCTCACTGTTTCGTGCAAATCCTAACATTCAACTCGCATCCATGATGTAGCAGTTCCAATGCGATCTGCCAACAATGACCTGCAAAACACAAACAGAATCGCAGGACAGTACTGGAGAACCAGTACCCTTCGAGAAGCTTTGGCGCAGCCGTTCCACTGCGATCTGCACAGACTGAATTGCACAACACAATAGAATTGCAGAACACATCGCTTTGATGCTCCAGTTCCGATAGACAAAGTGTCGCAGCGCATGCAAAACACAATAGCACAGCATCAAAAAAAAAGTCACCTGGAGCCCTCAGTTCCACTGTGCGCGCAAATCGAGCCGGATTCGGCGGCAAAGCGGCGACGCATAAGACATCCTAAGACCGTCGCGCGCGCGAGCCAACTTGTCTCCGCAACGGAACCTTCTTTTACCCGAAAAAACACAATGTTTCGTGCAAATCCCAACATTCAAATCGCATCCGTGATGTTGCAGTTCCAATGCGATCAGCCAACAAAGACCTGCAAAACACAATCAGACTTGCAAGACACAACACCTCTACTCTGCTCTACTTCTACCCTTCTCTACTCTACCTCTACTCTACCTCTAGCCTATCTCTAGTCGACCTCTAGTCTACCTCTAGTCTACCTCTAGTCTACCTCTAGTCTACTTCTAGCCTACCTCAACTACCTCTACTACCTCTATGGCACATGCCAACTGGAGACAGATGGACACAATGATCTCTGGGCTAGTGAGAAGACGACTTCATGACCTCTTAAGGCACATGCCAGCTGGACACAATGATCTCTGGGCTTGTGAGAAGGTGACTTCTGATTTTTGGGCTAGTGAGAATGTGACTTCATGATCTCTTAAGGCACATGCCAACTGGACACAATGATCTTTGGGCTAGTGAAATTAAAACCATCCATAACTCGGAGTTTCTCTACGAAACTTCCTTTGATCATAAAAATAAATAAATATATATATATACATACATGTTATATTTTATATGTATGTGTACTGTATATACACACATATAACATTTCCCCAATTGCGCAGTTGATATTTTCATTATCCCAAACTGTTTAATCCCTTCTTTTTCTGCTCAGTTTAGGAAATGGAGCTGAAGACCGATGCAGTTTGCAGTAGCGGGACATCAGATGCGGTCGCTCGATGTGCACAAGGGGGTGGCGGAGCGAAGTCCAAGTGGCAGAGTCATGAGTCAAGTAGAAAAACCGTGTTATCGTTGGGTTGATGGATGTTTATGGTTATGGAATCACATGGAATCATATGGAATCATATGGAATCATATGGAATCTGTGATATCTCTGCAATGAGATGGTTGCAATATGTTGCAATGGTTTCGGAATTTCAGGTTTTCGACGGTCGGTCACTCCTTTTTGATGTCAGGACATGGAACCTGTCCATGTGATCCTAAAAGCCTTGGCACATCCTGGAGAGGGTCTTCCAAGGACCCAGATCCAGTGCGTTGGGACATTGGTAGTTCGACTTACTGGGGCACCCATGGGCACCCTGTCAAGACATCCTGAAGATCTGGATCTATCCTAGTGACTTAGTGGTTTCATATTGAGCCCCAAATTCGAGAGCCGTTGATGTGTTCGAGAGCTAGTTTGATGCTGATCGAATCTGTTTTCCATTGTTTTCCACGTGATATCGTGACTTGAGCACCATCAACTTTGCGCTGAAGGACAAATCCGAATCCAGAAAGTCTGGCACTCGTGGCTGCACTTGCTGCACCCTGAAGTTTGACCTGTGGACTTCAGTTTTTGTCCTTTGATCCCTTCAGAATCCTTCAGAATCCTTCAGAATCCTTCAGAATCCTTCAGAATCCTTCAGAATCCTTCAGACCTTTCGTATTTTTTTCGTTTTCTACAGTATTTGGATGCGCTTCATTCTGTGCTTCTGAAGTTCTGAATGTCCAGCATGGTGCACATGGAAGTCGCGGCTCAAAGTTTGATTCAGGGCTGTCTAGCTGAAGGCCCCATAGCCAAATCAGGCTGATCCACAGCCCGAGCCAGACACGATGAGTCTCCCTGCACTTCCTGATTCCGCTCCTTGGTGAGAGATGGCCATGACTTGCATGGATTGATGCAGAGCTTGTGGGAGCAGAGAAGACCAGCATTACCAGCATTTGATCATCTGATCATTATTTGATCCTAGTTGATTTTCATGACTGCATGAGGACCATGAGAAACACACATTCCAACAACAAACGGTTTCAACTATGTAGTCTTATGTAGTTTCTAATGTTTCACACGTTTCATCCTGATTTCATCCTTTGTTTCAGCCGGTTCCGGTGCCGGTTCCGGTATGTTCCGATGTCTTCCTATGTCTGAGGTGCTCAATAGCGGCATTCCAGAGGGCACTGCAGCAACCACCAGCCTACCGGATGACGCTTGGGACCTGCTGGGCCTTGGTGTCACTGATGGATTGAACGACCGGGAGCTGCACATCAAGAACGGCCAGGTTTGCCTTTTGACAGGTGGAGACTACATGAGTGCGAAGCGACGTTATGCCTTGGAGAACCGCGAAGCACACCGGGCTCAGTGGCGACAACAAGCAGAACAGCGTTTAGCCAAGGTGAGTTGCGAATCAAACCGCCACGATGTGCCGTGACATGCCATAATGTGCTACATATTTGCTACATATTTGCTACTGGAGTGTGGAAAACAAGATTTTTCATCTGGAGCGTTTTTGATTCCTCAAATCTGTAGAATCTCTCCCACTTTGTGCTGCTTCCCCGGTTCCATCTTCCTCATCTTCCTCATCTTCCTCATCTTCCTCATCCTCTTCCTTTCCGGTCTTTGTACAGGTTTTGCCTTTGGACAGAATAATGCAGAATATTTATATATCATTCTGAAGAAAATGCAGCGACGCAGTGCGATTCATTCCGTTTCTCCATGTTTCTCCATGTTTCTCCATGTTTCTCCGTTTCCTTGACGGAGGCAGAATCTCGACGTGGAGGTGTTGAGAAAGCAGCCGCTGAGAGTGGAGTTATGAAGACCCAGAAGTTCACCTGGAGCAAGGATGGCGCCAAGAGTTTCGAATGGAGGAAGATTTATCATGCCTTGGTGGGACAAGTAGGACCTGGTGAAGGAGGTTTGTTGGCAGAGGCACTGATTACACCAACCTCCATGAGGACCGGAGTGGTGGATTTCTCCCTGGCCGTTTTTTTCTCATATATTTCCAATAAATATTTCCGAAAAAAAAGATCATATAGAATCATATAGATTCATCATAGTAATCATAGATTAATCATAGATTAATCATAGTAATCTACATATGAGTCATATGATCTACAGATTCATCAATCTACATATGAGTCATATCATATGTCAAGTCTTGAGTCTTGCTTTCCTAAACCTGTGATGACTTGGCTGAAACCGTAATTGTCTGAGTGCGGGTTGGGCTTCAGGTGGCGCATGCCTTTGCAATCTAATTTTTCAGACATCTGAAAGCGTATCCACTTTGCCCTTTTGCACCTTTGCATTCACTTCATTCTTCTATTTTCCATGATTTTTCCATCTTTTCATAGCTGTTTTTCCTGAACTCAGATCAGGATGTATACAGATCACCGCGTCATGGGCCAAGTTGTCCTGCCCGGTGTGTCGCACGTCTCTTTGATGGCTGCAACCGCGTCGTTGGGCTTCCCCAGCCCAGGTGGTGGCATGGGCGATTGGCACATCAGTGTGAAGGACATGGGTCATTAAATGTCCCCATGGGTCACATCACCCAACCATTAGGTATATGGTCTATAATCGCTACTATAAGGTGATGTTCTAGTATATTCCCATATACCTAATGGTTCTCATATAATGGCTAATATATGGCTACTATAAGGTGATGTTCAATATTCCCAACCCCTGAAGGAAGTTCTCTTTGAGCGTCCTTACATCGTCCACAGCGGTGCTGATCTCATCGCTGCGATCGCCAATGGGGTGGATCCTTCCACCGTTCAGGCGATGGCTGGCGGACTGCCGATTCCAATGACACCAGTGGGAGTTCCAACCACCTACTGCCGATCCACCACTGTGACCAAGGAGAGAGGCATCATCAAGTCAACTATGGATTGGGCCAAGTGAGCCAAGTGACGCGCTATGACTCCGGATCTACATGATCTGCTCGGCTTCCAGAGAAAAAAATTGGATGCAAGTTGATGTAAGTTGATGCAAGTCATGCGAGGCACAGCTTCACAGCTTGGTATTTCCCCTAGATTTGATGCACAGCTTGGTATTTCCAACTGCTGAGGCATCCACGCCTGGCAGGCGCGAGTAGCATGCTACTTTGCATACCAAATGGATGGTGGTATGCTTGGCCGGGAATCACAGCTGTGCGCAGTCCGCAGTGTGAAGCGTGTGAAGCAGTCGGAATGTTGAAATTCCCTCCCATGTTTACCATAGATTTACCATATATTAAGGGGCTACGCCCCCTGCCGCCGACCCCAGGCAGGGTAGCTTGGGGCGGCGAGCGGGGGGCGGTAAACTGCTAAATACTCGTCTAGCTGATTTACCTTGTTCTGTTTTTTCTATCCAATCTTTTGGAGATCCCTAAATTTATATAATTTGCCGCCTGTGACGCGTCTCCCTGAAGCACTGGCCAGACTCAACCTGAGGCACCAGGGCCAAGTGGCCAAGAATAGAGACTTCACAAAGGTTATTTGGAAACAAACGTGTGAAGTTTTGAAGATGTGCATATGCATATTACATATATATATATATACAGTCTATGTATATGTATAGATATATATATCCATATATATCCATATATCCATCAACTTACCACCAAGGAGAACGCTGCAAAAGTGGAACTCGGACAAAACAATTTCTCTGATGATGGAATTCCAACAATTTCCAGCATCAGAAAACCTAGGAAATCGAACAACAGTTTCCTCACTACAAATCATCCAGCTCTAAAGGGATTCTGCACCAATGACACTGCATGAAGTCAAGTTGGTATGTCCAGCCTGTACTGGGTTTCGGCGTGATGCCTTTTTGGACTTCCTCAATGATGCCTCAAGCCGGAAGCATCGTGACATGAACATCTGTCATCCTTTCTAGTGACACGAGTTTTTCAAGCCAGAACAAATTGTTTCTATATCCATATATACAAGATATAATATACATAATTATATACATGTGTATCTATGGGTATTTACACTATTCCTGTACTTTTGTTATACTTCCTCTGGTCGGGTTGAACAGCAAATCCCTTTCCTGCCAGCTTGCTTGTGTTCTCTTGGCGGACCCTGTCGCAGCACCAAAACACCATGGCAGCGAAGGACGGATCGGGCCCGCGGCCGGCAGCCCATGGTTCCAAACGTTGCTTTCTGAACTCCCTAGAAACTAGCTCCAAACTTGGACTTTGCCCGCCCTTCATCGGCCACCTGCCAGCTTGCTTGTGTTCTTTTGGCGGACCCTGTCGCAGCACCAAAACACCATGGCAGCGAAGGACGGATCGGGCCCGCGGCCGGCAGCCCATGGTTCCAAACATTGTTTTCTGAACTCCCTAGAAACTAGCTCCAAACTTGGACTTTGCCCGCCCTTCATCGGCCACCTGCCAGCTTGCTTGTCTTCTCTTGGCGGACCCTGTCGCAGCACCGAAACACCATGGCAGCGAAGGACGGATCGGGCCCGCGGCCGGCAGCCCATGGTGCCAAACGTTGCTTTCTGAACTCCCTAGAAACTAGCTCCAAACTTGGACTTTGCCCGCCCTTCATCGGCCACCTGCCAGCTTGCTTGTCTTCTCTTGGCGGACCCTGTCGCAGCACCAAAACACCATGGCAGCGAAGGACGGATCGGGCCCGCGGCCGGCAGCCCATGGTGCCAAACGTTGCTTTCTGAACTCCCTAGAAACTAGCTCCAAACTTGGACTTTGCCCGCCCTTCATCGGCCACCTGCCAGCTTGCTTGTCTTCTCTTGGCGGACCCTGTCGCAGCACCAAAACACCATGGCAGCGAAGGACGGATCGGGCCCGCGGCCGGCAGCCCATGGTTCCAAACGTTGCTTTCTGAACTCCCTAGAAACTAGCTCCAAACTTGGACTTTGCCCGCCCTTCATCGGCCACCTGCCAGCTTGCTTGTCTTCTCTTGGCGGACCCTGTCGCAACACCAAAACACCATGGCAGCGAAGGACGGATCGGGCCCGCGGCCGGCAGCCCATGGTGCCAAACGTTGCTTTCTGAACTCCCTAGAAACTAGCATCAAACTTGGACTTTGCCCGCCCTTCATCGGCCACCTGCCAGCTTGCTTCTCTTCTCTTGGCGGACCCTGTCGCAGCACCAAAACACCATGGCAGCGACGGGCGGATCGGGCCCGCGGCCGGCAGCCCATGGTTCCAAACGTTGCTTTCTGAACTCCCTAGAAACTAGCTCTAAACTTGGACTTTGCCCGCCCTTCATCGGCCACCTGCCAGCTTGCTTGTCTTCTCTTGGCGGACCCTGTCGCAGCACCAAAACACCATGGCAGCGAAGGACGGATCGGGCCCGCTGCCGGCAGCCCATGGTTCCAAACGTTGCTTTCTGAACTCCCTAGAAACTAGCTCCAAACTTGGACTTTGCCCGCCCTTCATCGGCCACCTGCCAGCTTGCCCGTGTTCTCTTGGAGACTTTGCCCACCTCTTGGAGGACCGTGTCGGAGCATCAAAACACCATGGCAGCGAAGGACGGATCGGGCCCGCGGCCGGCAGCCCATGGTTCCAAATGTTGCTTTCTGAACTCCCTAGAAACTAGCTCCAAACTTGGACTTTGCCCGCCCTTCATCGGCCCACCTGCCAGCTTGCCCGTGTTCTCTTGGAGGACCGTGTCGCAACACCAAAACACCATGGCAGCGAAGGACGGATCGGGCCCGCGGCCGGCAGCCCATGGTTCCAAACGTTGCTTTCTGAACTCCCTAGAAACTAGCTCCAAACTGGGACTTTGCCCGCCCTTCATCGGCCACCTGCCAGCTTGCTTGTCTTCTCTTGGCGGACCCTGTCGCAGCACCAAAACACCATGGCAGCGAAGGACGGATCGGGCCCGCGGCCGGCAGCCCATGGTGCCAAACGTTGCTTTCTGAACTCCCTAGAAACTAGCTCCAAACTTGGACTTTGCCCGCCCTTCATCGGCCACCTGCCAGCTTGCTTGTCTTCTCTTGGCGGACCCTGTCGCAGCACCAAAACACCATGCCAGCGAAGGACGGATCGGGCCCGCGGCCGGCAGCCCATGGTTCCAAACGTTGCTTTCTGAACTCCCTAGAAACTAGCTCCAAACTTGGACTTTGCCCGCCCTTCATCGGCCACCTGCCAGCTTGCCCGTGTTCTCTTGGAGGACCGTGTCGCAACACCAAAACACCATGGCAGCGAAGGACGGATCGGGACCGCGGCCGGCAGCCCATGGTTCCAAACGTTGCTTTCTGAACTCCCTAGAAACTAGCTCCAAACTTGGACTTTGCCCGCCCTTCATCGGCCACCTGCCAGCTTGCTTGTCGTCTCTTGGCGGACCCTGTCGCAGCACCAAAACACCATGGCAGCGAAGGACGGATCGGGCCTGCGGCCGGCAGCCCATGGTTCCAAACGTTGCTTTCTGAACTCCCTAGAAACTAGCTCCAAACTTGGACTTTGCCCGCCCTTCATCGGCCACCTGCCAGCTTGCTTTGGTCTTCTCTTGGCGGCCCCCTGCATCGGAGCACCAAAACACCATGGCAGCGAAAGACGGATCGGGCCCGCGGCCGGCAGCCCATGGTTCCAAACGTTGCTTTCTGAATTCCCTAGAAACTAGCTCCAAACTTGGACTTTGCCCGCCCTTCATCGGCCCACCTGCCAGCTTGCCCGTGTTCTCTTGGCGGACCGAGTCACAACACCAAAACACCATGGCAGCGAAGGACGGATCGGGCCCGCGGCCGGCAGCCCATGGTTCCAAACGTTGCTTTCTGAACTCCCTAGAAACTAGCTCCAAACTTGGACTTTGGCCCGCCCTTCATCGGCCACCTGCCAGCTTGCTTGTCTTCTCTTGGCGGACCCTGTCGCAACATCAAAACACCATGGCAGCGAAGGACGGATCGGGCCCGCGGCCGGCAGCCCATGGTTCCAAAAATTGCTTTCTGAACTCCCTAGAAACTAGCTCCAAACTTGGACTTTTGCCCGCCCTTCATCGGCCACCTGCCAGCTTGCTTGTCTTCTCTTGGCGGACCCTGTCGCAGCACCAAAACACCATGGCAGCGAAGGACGGATCGGGCCCGCGGCCGGCAGCCCATCGTGCCAAACGTTGCTTTCTGAACTGCCTAGAAATAGATCAACTTGGACTTTGGCCCGCCTTCATCGGCCACCTGCCAGCTTGCTTGTCTCTCTTGGCGGACCCTGTCGCAACATCAAACCACCATGGCATGCGAGGACGGATCGGGCCCCGCGGGCCGGCAGCCCATGTTTCCAAATTGCTTTCTGAACTCGCCTAGAAACTAGCTCCAAACTTGGACTTTTGCCCGCCCTTCATCGGCCACCTGCCAGCTTGCTTGTCTTCTCTTGGCGGACGCCTGTCGCAGCACCAAAACACCATGGCAGCGAAGGCGGATCGGGCCCCCGCGTCCGGCATCCCATGGTTCCAAACGTTGCTTTCCTGAACTGCCTAGAAACTAGCATCAACCCTTGCTTTTTCCTGCCGTCAGCTCGGGTCCAAGGACCGTGCCGCAGGCCTCAAACACCATGGCAGTGAAGGACGGATCGGGCCCGCGGCCGGCAGCCCATCGTGCCAAACGTTGCTTTCTGAACTGCCTAGAAACTAGCTTCAACCCTTGCTTTTTTCTGCCGTCAGCTCGGGTCCAAGAACTGTGCCGCAGGCCTCAAACACCATGGCAGTGACGGACGGAGCGGGCCCGCGGCCGGCAGCCCATCGTGCCAAACGTTGCTTTCTGAACTGCCTAGAAATAGAAACTAGCTTCAACCCTTGCTTTTTCCTGCCGTCAGCTCGGGTCCAAGGACCGTGCCGCAGGCCTCAAACACCATGGCAGTGAAGGACGGATCGGGCCCGCGGCCGGCAGCCCGTCGTGCCAAACGTTGCTTTCTGAACTGCCTAGAAACTAGCTTCAAACCTTGCTTTTTCTAGCTCCAAGCCT